CCAGCAAGACAAAGGCAGCTATTTGTGCAGATGTGGCAATCGGATGCTATGGTGATAAGCTCACAAATCTCACTGCCTGTGGTGTTTCAAAATATGAGAAACCGGACCTGGAGAAACCTGGTTTGGCGACCCAGGGCTGGGTAGGAAGGTGGGGGCCAGGGAAGGAGGTTTGTAATGACCATACTTGAAGAGCACAGGCCGGACTCTGCCTCTGTGTGTGTGTGTAAGAGTGGGATCTATCCTTAAAGAGACTGGAGATAGCTTGTCATACTTGAGAACTGACAGCAGGTCGTCTTCCTTCAGGCAATGCCATCTATAGCATGCAGATTCTGCCCAAATAAGAGCACTCTTAAGTTTTCAAGTATCTGCTGGATACTTTCAAGAAGAGATCAAAAGAATATCGAAATCAGATCTGAAAGCACTCAAAAAAAGAAGACTGCACATCTAGTGCCCAAACAGGACGAGAACCCTGCCTGCTTGCTGTAAGGGTGCCCCAAAGGCCACAGGGCTTTGGAGTTGCAACTAATAGCAAAGGCTTTTTTCAAAGGAAAAAACCCTAAACTTCTAAGGCCTTTTTGGCTTTTAAACTTTAAACACCATAATACAAAACAAGTGCCCTTTAAAATCTGTAATCAATCTTGCAACAATTCTTCAGGGCCACTTACTCAAGTTCAAGCCTCAGCAGCGATCTATTACACTTATTTTTGAAGAATAACCTGAAGAGTAAGTCCTTGCTCATATTTTTTAAGTCCTAAAACTAAAAACATAACCACAAAGAACAAAATCACCTTTGCTTACCCTCTAAACTGAGAGGATCCTAAATTTTTCTTTTAAAACCCACAATCCATACTCTTAGGTTGCAACATTTAACACTGCAGCCAGAAGTCATAGAATCACATAATTTACTAGCCATTTACAATTTATTATTGGTAATAAATAATTTATAATGGCTAGTAAAGGATAAAGAAACAGTTCCAAGAAAAAGGAAACAGAAACACAGGAAACAAGGTCCCAATGTCCCCTTATGTGGGGACCTCCCTCTCCTCACATAAGGATACTTATAAGATAGCTGTAAATATTGTCAAGAAGTCCTATCTCATCATTTGTCAATTATAATGACATAGCTCTGTCTCTGCAACTTCCCTTTCATACTTCACTTTTACATTCTGCTACAAACACTCCAGAACTTGACACAAACTTTTCCTCTCCCTGTGAGTGACTTGCAGAGACACTGAACACCAAATACAATAGACAAGACATGTCCATATGCACAAGTCTTGGCCTGCGGTTTTTGTGGGGGTCTTTTGGGGATAAATGCACCAAGTTTTGCATGACAATGTAATGCAGAAGTCTGAGTCACTGACGTGCATTTGTATCTTCTTTCGTGATGCTCAAATGCCTGTTTCTCAGCTCGCTGTACTCATTTCAAAGCACACCATTATGAACTGTGCTGTATTGCATTTGAGGTTCATTCCCAATGTGTTTACTCCTCTGTAGACCTGAACTATGAGCTAGGCTGAGCTCACATTTCATAGAATAACAAGGATGTTTATCAATTACTTTTTGGTTCCTACAGGAGCTTCCTGCTTTGCAAATCCTTGAGCAGGATGAAAGATGGTTGTTACAACTCTGCTGTTCTCTCTGTATTGGGAGGCTGAACTCCTTACATCCTTACTCAGACAAATGCTACCCAGTACAACTGAACTGTATGAAGACAGAAATATTCTAGGCAACCAAAAGAAGGAGGAGGAGAAGCAGGGATCAACCAATTTTTTTCCTAACCATAATCTAGTCCTAAAATGGTGTAAAACATGGCATCCTTTCACTGGTGAAGACTTGACGGCAAGCTCTGAACACCACACAAGCTTACTCCTGTTTCTCAAAGAGGAAAAATACAGAGGGAGACAAACAGATGAAAAGATCTGGGCTGCCTATGAAGCTAGCTTCAGAAGTTTGGAACAACTGCCTGCTAAATAACAGAATTTTGGGTAGGATTGCAGGAGGCATCACTCAGCTAACACCAGTCCCATGCAAGAGCCCACAGAGCTGATCCTTACCTGGTATGAACAGTCTCAGCTCTGCCAGCCTCAGCAATTTGGCCATTTAGCACTGGCTGCTTAAAGACCTCAACTGAGCTTTGACAACTTAGGCTAGCTGAGGATGCACCCACTGTTTAAGATGAGATACAAGGTGGCAAGGGAAGCACCAGAAACTGGCACGTATAGCCTCAGAATACAGTTCACTGGATATGTATAGTACATCTATAGGGCAGAAGAGAGATCGCGTCAGCCCAGTAGCTGTCAGGGCGAATACTTCTATATCCATGAAGATATATACAAGTACACAATGTGTGTATTTATACATATTTGAACATCCTTGTGTGACCTCCTATATACTCCAAACAGACCTTCTTGCAACATTCATTTTTCTAATGCAAACAAAGCATTCTATTCAAGTGTACTTAGAAACACACCATAATTAAACAGTTGGTAAAATACATTCTCTTCTTCCACTTCCAGATCTCCCAAGAGTCCCTTCAAATATATCTATACAAGTTCTAGCTTCCTGCTTGCCATTTAGCTTCATAACGACTCAAAAATCATTCCCTTGTTTTGAAGGGTAACTCTTTCTTGTCTGCTCTATGTGCTATAGGGCAGTATTGACACATGGAATTAATGACGGTGTCTGTAATCAAACAGCCATCATGTAAACACCAGTCTGCTCCTTTGATAAAATGACATGTTAGGGACCTATTCACCTCCTTATAATTGAGTGCTACATAATAGTTCCGATCCTTTCATGTAACATTATTTTGTTCTATGATTAGACAGGGGAGGAAAAAAAAAATCTATGTACCATTGCCTCCTTCATTCATCCTATGATTAATTTTGTGTTTCTAATGAGTATGGTTGCTTATTTAGACAGGTTCTCTTACATACTCGTTTTGTTGACTTCTGTTCAATGCACAACAATACCCAAGCTGTGATAATTGGAGACCATTTCATCAGCAAAAGGATTCTTGCTATTAATACAAGGTTGGCTTGGAAAAAGCATCCTGACATTTTAAATTAGTCAATTAATATACAATTCTACCTACCATTTATAATAGAAAAAATGTTAGCATTTTTTCCAGACATTTTAATTAACACAGAGTATTTCCAATAATCTATTATATAAACAGACAGAATATCATACAACACTGATTTAGGGTGCCTAACTTGGTCTTTTGTAAAAATGAAAGGTTGAGTTAAATCTTTTTGCAGATCTGGGGAGTTTTTCAGAGCTGAAAGATGTACATCACATACAGAGTACACTGATTTACAGTCACCAAACAATTCTCAATGAATCAACAAGATAGTATTGACCCTTACTGCAGACAAAGCCCACAGAGTTACTTCAGGGACAAGTTCAAGCATCCAGCAAACTACCTAAGTAACATCTACATCTCCCAAGAGCTGCAGTAATCAAGATTTTTCATCTTCATTTACACTTATAGTTTATATATATTTAAATGATTTAAAAAAATAATCTCATCCAGCCAAATTTGAGCAAAATATTAATTTCTATAAAAGCTTTTGTAGAATGCAAGTCTATGTTAAAATACTGGGGTGGGGAAATGGGTTCACCAACAATATTCAGCTTTCCTCCATACATTTTGATAAAACAAAACTGGGTGATTAATTTTAATTTAGCCTTGTCGATGGTCAATTACGCCATGAACAGGCCTAAACACCAATAACCTAACTGAATAGAAAAACTTTGGAAGACAGACCTGAAATGACCAAAAGCATGGATCAGTTTTACACCGCCTCAAAGCAGTTTCAATTCTTCAGTGCCAATGCTGAAAATAAAGAGAAACCTGGAGAGCAAAAATCCACTGGCATCTTATGGAACAAGGGAGAAAATGCCACTTTATTACTTATAGTTTCAATAAACCTATACAGAGGGTACAGTGTAAACAGCTAGCAGTCATTAATGAAGGCTCTAACTTTTCAATGAAGTAGTACCGTTTTGCAAATTTGTTTTCTGTCATCAGGTAATGTTTCAAAAACGATACAGAGCCAGTCAAAGGCAAATCCAGAACACCCCAGTGACAGACTGGCCTGATATCCTCAGCAGTCAGGAAGGGAGGCAAGTTTGTCAGTCATTCAACTTTTTTTTTGTCCATATCTTTCCCCAGTAAAAGCATGCTAGCTCTTTAAAGCTTAGCTTCCATTACTGGGACAATACAAGTGTACTAAGCAAACCAGTTTTGCTGTACCTCACACAAGTTCACTCTAAGCTCTTGTTCAAGTTATACAAATAAAGTTACATGAACTTGTTCAAGTTAGAAGCTGCTGCTGTTCATTCCCTGTCCAACTTCCTCTCTTATAAGCAAAGCAGAGTGCCAAAATTAAACTGCTCAGTTCATGGTATATGTCCCCTCCTACGGTGACAATAACAAAGACCAGCAGAAGTAGGAAACCTGCGACCAGCAGCCTGCCTCAAAGCAAGATTCAAAACCCAGAATCAATTGAAGACTCCCATCAAAGCAACCTCCAGTTTAAATTTGTAGGTTGCAAACCAAGGGAAAAAACGTGCATTCCACTGATAGATTTAAGTCTCTGAAAACTCCCAGCACTGAAGGACTCAAACTGGAGGCAGAAGCGTTCGATTCCAAACACATGGAGGGACTCCCACTACTATCAGCATGTTACTAACTCTTTCTTCTTGTATACAGGACTGGCAGCTTCTCATTTCACTTAACATCTGCAAAACCCACAATTGCACTCAATTACGTTCATTAAAAACATCCCACAGCCTCCCCAAACCAAGTCTTACTTTCTTTTTCCTTCCTGCCAGCATTTCTAACCCCCCTGCCCAATTTTCAGTGAAACAAAAAGGGTGGAAAGAACAGTCAAGTGATTTTATTCATGTTATCACAGCACCTAAAGGGGTCACATCAACAACACTGTCCCACAGTAATTACTACACTAAAAAACAAACAAGCAAAAACCTTACAACAAAAAGAGTCTCAGCCCTGAAGAGTTTGCAGTCTAAGGCCTATAGAAGAAACTGCAGGTGGATGTAACAGACACAGAAAGTCCAAGGTGAAAGTAAGGCTACTGGCCAAGAGGATAAGTAGGGAAGCAGGGCACCAGCTGCTCAGTTATTGTCGGTTTGTAGCAGGCAACACAGCAGGTGCCTCCAGCCCTCCAAACTGAAAAGGCTCTTACGCTACAGTAACGCCATTTGGACTTTTTGTGTAACTGCTATAGTGATAGCAACTGACTTGTCTTCAGTCTTGGTTTATCTCCAGTCTCAATCTTCCTTTTAAAAAAGTTTTAGACCATTTAGTCATTTTATTGTGGTACCCCTAACACTCAGCATCTTAATTCTCTGGCTTACATAGCAATCATTCCATTTTACATAGTAGTTCAATTAAGATGACATGTGCATTGCATTTTCTTCTCTTTATTAAAAAGACTGTAACATACTACACTTCCTTTCCATGCAAATAATGTGAAAAAGTATCCAATTACTCCATTGACACTCTCAGATCAGTTGTTCCTAGAGCCTTCCCTGCTTTTGCTCCTGCTTATAATTCAGTCTTTGTCAGCTAATATAAAATCCAGATTCTCCAATATCTTTTGCGGTATTCATAATCTTTAATAGAGATGTAAAAATACTTGTTTGCTGAATTTCTTTCAATAGATCTTGTTCTTTGAATATCTACAGACTTTCACAAAACACAAACGCATTTCTAGCTGCTGAATTTTCCCATGTTTGAAGAACGATCCACTTATATATTTACCTAAATTCCTACAGCTCAGTTCAATGGTAAATTAGTATTACAGTAAGTCTTCCTCAAAAATGTAAAACTTTGCTTATGCAGAAAACAAACTACAAGCAATCACTCCAATATGACTACAAGTATGGGGGAAGAAAACCCAGCAAATTCTAGGCATATTGAGTCAAGGAGAAAAAAAACTATAGCTAACAGCACAGGTGTGTTCTCTTTCTGTATGTAGAAAGTTACAAAATAAAAAACAACTTTCTGTATCAATAACGTACACCTTCACACCACATTAAATACCACTTGCTTTTATGGCATTACCTCAGTCATTTAAAACAAATAATAAAGGCTCATTTGTAATTCAGTCCCCGCTTACTCTAATAAATCCACAATAATTCTTAATTGTAAATTCCCTTTTACTTGCTCCATTATATAATTCATTGCTTCTGATGACAACTATTTTCACACTGTATTTGTTCTTCAGATAAGCAGCAGGCATAAGTAGTTACCATGAGATGCTGCTCATTGACTTGGGGAAAATGAGTACCCTTGCCTTGGGCTTGGATTGTCCCCCGCACTTTAAAAGGAAAAATTCTTTTCATTACTATCAGCCTATCCATTTAGGACGCAGGTCCCTTCACCACCAGATCTTCCTGATTCTGTCCAATCCTCTCCAAAAGAGATTTCTGCTGAAGTCCTGCTACGTATCACACTTTTCTTTGAAGTGCTAAACATTTTTCTCTGCACTTAAAGTGGTCCTAATCCTGCAAAGAAGTTGATTATAGCACTATTTTGAAGCACTAGACCTTAGTAAAGAGCCAGGACAGGAGCTGCCTCCCTCAAAAGCAGTTATAATACAATACCTGGAAAGTTTATCAAACATGTTGACAAGCTTCATAGCTTCATATTCTTTTTGTTCTTCTGTCATTTCATCCATCGGATTGGGCATTGGTTCTTCTAAGTGACCAGTGATAAGGTTAATGCTGGAGGTGGAAAAATGATGCAGTTTACATTTCTATAGAAATATGTAAATTTTCTATCTTCTCGACAGGAGGAAAGAGGAACACATTAACAGAAACCACCAAGACTAAAACTGTCTGAACTGCACATGAAAGTATTTACTATAAATAGCCAACCTTTGTATTTATACCTTTTTTGTAGCCTTTTCTTGTGGATCGTGGTATTATCTTCTTGATTCACTGTATTAATTTCTTGTTAGCTACCCAGAAATACACATTCCACTAATACTTGTTATGTTATAACCCATACACAAGCAGTTTGAAAGTAGGGGAATAATGATGGTAATAATGACAATGCCATTAGTAATAATGACATAGATGGGGAACAGATTGACAGATAAATATTTGAAACTAATTCCGTACAGACTTAATTTTAAAAATAGACAGGTTCCAGTTATATTTTCTTATTCATGAAGAACCATTGAATTAGTTCACTATTCCCCTACTGTGATGATTTTTGCTCAAACGAAATTAAGGTTCCTTTACTTTGAGAATTTATAATGCCAGTTTTATTTTCACTGTTAAAACAAGTGAACAGCGATACAGAAATGGTAACAAAAGCAGAGAAGTAGTTTTAAAGAACACTTTCAGGGCAAATTATCTTTTCAAGCAGTTTAATCACAAACATTTAACAGCAATACAGAAAATCAGATGCATAAACCAACTGACAGTTGTCTTCAATATTTCATTTAAGTGTCAGCTTTTAACTAAATAGATGTTATAGTTTTACTTATATGCCATAACTAGATGTTAGGCTTTTGAAAGAAGAGCAGACAAAAGAGCAAGGAAAAAAAAAGTGAAGTGCAGAAATAAAAAGAAACCTCCTGTTTTACAGTTCATTTCTTAGCGTAGAAGCAATATAATTCCTGTAACTTCTCATACATTTAATCCTGTCTTTCATTCGTGTTCCTTAATAAGAATCTTTCAATAAGCCACAACTCCCCATTATATACCTAACCATGTCTGTGTAATTCAAGGGAAATGGAGTAAAGCAGAAAAATGACATGCTTCAGATGCCCACTATCAACAATTTCAGAACCTACTTAAAATGGCATCAAATCATAGACATAACATGACAAACTGAAACCTCTAACACCAAATAAATTACAATTAATAAAAATCAACAGACAGAGCTTCTATATGAACACTGATTCTTTCAAACAAATACATTGGATTCCTGATGCATGACTTCTATGGAAGTTATTTTCCTCCTTCCATATTTACCTATGTGACCTACTCAATTCTTCAGGAAAATTTTAGTACCAGGCAATCTGACTGACTGAACCTAGACCTACTGGTTTGTTCCTTTTTTACAAAGTCCCACTTAAAACCTTAAGACACATCTGACACCTTTATTTTCTCTGTTACAGAGATATACCCCACAAACAATAGTTAGTAGTTACGCAACTTCATGTGAGTTCCTTGAAAAACTGGGGCAAAAGCCAACTTGCTAAGTTTGTTACTATAATTTTTTTCTAAAATTTGCTCAGAAATCTCTTTTCACACTTGAATTTTAAATAGTTATTCAGACTGAAGTTAAATCATTCTCATCGGGATGTTGTGTTGTTTTGGTTTGGTTTTTTTCCCCAGAGCCATCTGACTATATGATGGTCCCTATTAGAGGCTGGTTTCTCAATAACTAGATCATGAAGTCAACAGGAGACAGTAGTTAATACAAGTACACATAATTCCAAAACTGGCCTATCTGGAAAACGTGAAACAAAAAAATTATGTCAAAACATCTAAATTGCAATGGGATATGCAGAATTGAAAACAATACTATACTTTGGCTTTGCAGATTTATATTCTTCTGTATCTGTATCTTCATCATCTGAGTACCAATGATCTCCTCTTCCTCCTCCTAATAGGCCTCTTGCTGCCAGCAATCCTGCTGCGTTACCATAGCCTGTATATTTTAACAAGCTGTCAACTGCAAAGAGTGGTACAGAAAATTATTCAGCTATAATCAGCTACAAAACAAAAACCAGCATAGTGTTACAAGAATCAAGAGTTATAGCAAGAGACAAATATACTAATTACAGCAAGACCTTATATAAAAGGGAAAAAAAAAAAAGAGTAATTTTTACCTCTTTCTTTACAAAGAACAAAAAGAAATTCTGCTGCAATTTGCTTTACTCCAAGGTCAACATGTGTCATAAGGCGCACAAGCTTGTTTCTCACTGTTGTGCCAACTTCTGGACGATTTGATACATCTCTTAATGGAGGCAATACCTAAGAGCACACAGAAAAAAAGAAAACCAGCATAGAATGCATGGCAATACCTATCCAATCCTTGCAGAAACACATAGTCAACAGAACAAGAAAATACCGTAAGCTTTGCTCTTTCAAACAAAGGAATAAAATCAACCCAACTATGCTTACATTCACTAGTAATGACTCTTGCTTCCTAATATATTCAGGCCTTCTAGTCTGCCATCCTGGGCAGAAGAGTACTCAGTCCCAAATGTAGACTTTAAAAAAAAAAAAGACAACTATTAGGAGTTTAAGAGCACAAATGAGTGTCCCAAAATAGTTGGCCAAGAGGTAGCAGTAACCTCATGTTCTTTGTTTCTTCTGTTTTGTACAGATATCGGGTAAAAGCATTAAAAATACCTGTTTAAGGAAACTTACAACATTACCTTGATGGATAACTTATTAATGAATATACTTAAAATGAAAAAATATGACAATAAGTCACATTGCAAATTCTGCTACCATAAACTTCAAAAATTGGCTCTACACATATAAAGGAAATGCGTACTTCTCCTAGAAAACACTTTTTTATAAGCTCAAGCTAAATTTAGGAAAGATTTTGGAGAAAATATTATTTAACATTCCCTCAAACACACTATTTTCTCATTAAATGTCATTTATATTGTTAACTTCAGCCCTCAAGAAAGGCAGGAGGTGCCTGAAATACTGCTGGTTTTGCAACCTGACTTCCGCCTCCTTGCGCATATGCCTTCAGACTCAAAACCTGCACTAATTTTTTTGCATTCGCAGGATATGATATGATCTGCAAACAAATCTGGGCCATAATATGAAATATTTAATGATCTGAAGACTCCTGTAAGAATGATGGATCTTCAATTTAGGGGATGAAACCAAAGATGTCACTAATTGTCATAAGAAATTGCAGGTCCTTTGTCTTCTAGGTGTCTAATGTAAAATGTCATGTTCTGTGCAAATTTACTACACAATTACTACTGAAATCGGACTCACTGGGAACCAATACTTAAACAAACGAATGCTACAGTATTGACTACTTCGAATAAAACAGACCCTGTCTTTCTAAAACTAACTATTCAAACAATTAGCAAAAACATTTTACTTTGTCCCTGATTACTTTCCCCAATGGGGATAGTACCATGACTGTCATTTCAGAGTGTTGTAAGAATGAATTAATGTTTTTAGAGTATTCTAATACTAATACAGTGATGAGCACCATAGGACTGTCCATGAGGAAATTAATCATTCTGTCTTCAGATCAGAATTTGAATAGTGCACAATAAATAAAGCCTAAGGCCAACACTTAACAATGAGGGTAATTCAAAATATCAAACATCCGCTTGTGCAGTTAGCAGTATTCATCCATTCTGTGCACTATATGAGGCAGTGGTCCTGTGGCAGGAGACAGCATGCAATTATATCCGCACATCTAGATGCCAAGATGTCGTAACAACATGCAGACAACTTCATTTTCTAACTTCTGAATGTTTGGCTCTGCAACTTTTTTTTTTTTTACTTAACAGATCAGAAGAGTATGCTAGGAAAGAAATGCTGCAAACAAAAACAATAAACAGCAAGAACGAGTTTCTTAAATTTTCTGGTATAGATGAAAGAGGCAGAAAATATATGCTCTTTTCCATTATAAACTCCATTTATAAATTCAGGCGTAGCTTTGATCTGGGAACAGCATCTATGATGCAACTCGAAAATCACCGCAGCTGAGGAAAAAGAACATTTCTCAGCTGGTTTCAGTTGTCTTTCCCTTGCTCATCTTTTAGCTTCTCTCCACTCGACCTCAGGAAAAGCAGCAAAACAAGCAGAAAACGCTACACCCGACCACCAGGCGACAGAGATCCTTTAGATCTTTAACCATAGCATGGAAATCTTTTTCCCTGTAAAAAACCTACCCACAATCTGTACTGTATTAAACAGCTCTTTTAAGAGACCCAGTGATGAAGTGTGCCTCTGTCGAGGGACAGAGTTTTACTCTGACAGAACAGTTGATACACACAGGTAGACAAGTTTCAATTCAATGACTCCTGCCTGCTGAGGTCAAACTAAAGCTCAAGCAGAACCCATCAAAACAGCTGTAGCCTCACTGGCTACGACACAGCTTTGCAAAGTTTTATTAACTGCACAGAAATTTTTTTCGCTATGCTGGATATAAGGGGACAGACCTCACCAAGTTCTTTGCCCCTGTGTCACATGATCCATGGCGACCCACATTGACAAAGCTTTACAATACCCCTAAAATGTTATTATTTAACAGCTCTACAAAAGGTATCGTGGAACTTAGGCCATAATATCTGTTGAGTTACAGGACTCAAAAATTATTTCTCTAGGTGACAGTTGTCAGAGACCTAACAGAAGAAAATACTGCAGAGAACTTTGTGGGTAATTTAATATGAAACCATTCATACTTTCAGAGTATCTGTGTCTTGCACTGATGTACAAACCTCAGAAAGTTTATCATTAGCTTCATATTCTAATTTTGATGAATATTTTACTTACCTGAGCTTTGATAAACTTCCTGATATTCCTATGAGTTCGGCAGCATTCAGTTAATAAACTGAGAACCGGAGTCAGACCTTCTCTATAGCTGCTTCCCTAAAATAAAACCAAATACAAACAAAACATTTTTAAGAGCAAATTTTCCTTTTCAAATCCTATGAACCCTTCAATAAAGTCTTATACAACAGCCAAAACATGAACTTTACACAGATATAAGCAAAGAGCCAAATGTTCATCCTCACACACCTGCAAACAAGTACACTTCAGATATGCACAGGAATTTGTTCTCAATTTTGAAGTGTTTCACTTCAAGGACATCCATATTTATTCTAAATACTGTCTGAAAGGTTTGCAAGAAGATCTACATATGTGCACTTTTTGCTTTAATGAAAGAGGCCCCTTTTGTGAAGAATCTTTGCAGTTCATACCTTGTCTATTCTCTTCTCCATGAAATCCAGTAAAATTTGAATTGCTCCCATATTCATACCATTGTATTTTATATCTGTTTCCTCTTGGGATGATGGACTAATAAGAACATCCAAGCAAGAAACGGGAACATTGCTTAAGAGGTTGATTGCATTGCTGAAAACAGATTTTAAAAACTCGTTATTCATTTGGAAGAAAGAATTAAAAACAGAATACAACTCACCATAAACTGTTTGTACAACTGCAACCAAAAAGAGGCCCTGCAACTCAAACAATGCTTTATTTTCTACTCTCTGGGTTTTAAAGAAGGTGGCATGCATTATCTCCTGAGTGCTGGCTCTTGGAACAAACAAGGAAAAAGAAAGACAAAAGCCTAAAAGCTATACTGGAGCAGTGCACTATTACTTCCAGCCCCCCCCAGTATCCTATCCCATAGATAAGGCACAGCTTCCAGCAGTGTGTTACAGCAGCTGATCCTGCAGGACAGCAGGGGGAACTCTCACATTGATTTGCAGTGCTCAGAGTTTTTTCCTCCTTGAAACTTAAAACATTTTACAACACACCCATATTACCATCATTAATGTGACAAAGTACACCACAGAAAACATTTCCTCCTCCTGTAACAATGGGGCGTAGTGGCAATTTCTCAGGTCCCCTGAAATATTTTCACTTTTAATTAGCCTGCAGTGTATAGGAAATACAGAAGGCTTTTAATACATTAAAAAAAGATTCAAGTTTATTTACCAAGCACTACCTTTCAGTAACTGGCAGTCTTTGCATTCTAGAAAGCACAAAGAGGAGGGCTTCCCGAATATCCATTAAGTGATTTAAATTAGACCACAGGGTCCCTCCCTCCTCTTTAATGGAGTAAGATGGAACTTACTTTGCAAGGGTCTCTTGTATGGTACACATCCCTTGAGCTTGCTATCTATCCTGTTCTCATTATACAGACTTGCGTTTGTACTCTTCCTGAATATGGGGCTAAATTACACAGATGCTGCAAAAATTAGAATTCTGTCATTATTTACTTGCTGATGCCCAGCTAAACTTATAAATGGTTATATTTAGAAATACTACAGAACTATTTAGGCTTACATACACAGACCTCAAAGCTATCAACAAAACTGTGAGCACGGAGGTTTCAAGGATTGGCCAAGTGTTCCAAGAATAGAGAAAACTTTTCAAACAATTTAACACTTTTAATAATATCTACTTAGAAGCTGCCCTCAGTTTTTATGTTATTAATACAATTCTAACAAAGAATTAGGAAAAGAGAAAGCAAATCATGGCAATCAAACACAACAGGATTTCTAACAAATGTGCTGGTTTTGTCTGATCAGACTGGGTGGCTGTTCCACATTGTGCCATCTCCCTTTTGCTCTTTTAGCAATTGAAATTCAGACAACTTCTACTTTTTGGAAAGCTTGTTCTCTTTGTTTTGTTTCTAATTCCTGTTTAGGATACGTCTTTTATATCATGGAAGTTATTCCTCTCCAATAATTCAGGAATAGTCAGAAACAAAACAGACTGAAATTCAACAAATATTCGGTGGCTTCAGGCCTTTCATCAAAAGTTTTCTTTTTACCAGTTTCTTATTAAACAACCAAGTTCCCAAACACCTACAAAATTAATTTTCTGGATCACTGTGTCTGAGCTATTCTTTTCAATAAATGAAGCCCAGCTTTCTGATCTTTGTCACTCCACTGACAGTTTTATTTGTGGTAGAGGAGTGTATGAAATTCTCCAGCTACCAGGAAGTCAGTGACTATGCACAGATCTGCACAATAGTGTTTGCATTCCTACTCCAGGGGGTAGAAATACTGCGTATATTACTCTCCCCTTTTTGGCTTCCTAGCGATCATTAATCACTGGGACATGACATCCACCCACTCATGCTCCCAGCCCCCTCCTGATATGCAAATTCAGAAGCAAAGGCCTATTTAGAGCTGCTGAATGCCTTGATTAAAACCTTGTTAGTGGGCAAAAACGGCACTCACTCTAATATGTGGTGGTTTAAGCTGTTCATATTCAAACGTTAAGTAATGACATGACAGAACCACAATAATGACAACAATACCAGGTACTAAATTAGTTAAGATATTTTTGTATGTAACTTCTGCATATTTATTAGAAATAGAGTCACACTGACAATCAATACATCACAGCTCAGGGCATGTATCCAACACCTGATGCTTGCATAAAATAAATCCTCAACTTACACATTCAGAGCACAAGCATTCCTACAGCAAACACGCTTTAACAGGCTGCCCGAAGCCTTCACTTAAGCGTCTTACATTCTGCAGATATACAAACTTAAAGAAGAGCAAGTGATCAGCAATTTCAAGAAATATGCTTCCCTGATGCTTTGTAAAGGTTATTCCGCATTCAAGACTGCTTGTATTTCTTTTCCATTTTTAACATTTTCACAATTGCCAACTCACACCTTACCTCTAGCAATAAAGATTGCACTGTCAGAGTCCAGCACACTGAACAGCCCGAATAATGACACAGCCTCATTTTTTTAGCTCTGCTATGTTAACTATAGACCGCTAACACAAATTTACTCATTCATTATTGAAGCTCCTATCAGGAATGAAAGTTTTGCTTGACCAAATACATCATGGTACTGAAGTGGGGCCCTCTGATCCAGGCTCCTGATCCTTCTGATGATTTGCAGGGGCATTAGTTTGACTATTCCTTTTCTATTCCAGACCTGCCTTGTGATGAATAATCTTGGTGGAAAAGCGTATTAAATTATTCAGCTTTTATTGCATCCTGTAGCATTCAAAGACAAAACTCAGGTTTTGCAAACAGGCTGAAATATTTGAATCACAAAAGTCAAAACCTTTGCAGTGCTCTTCTAACATGTTGAAAAAAACCCTGAGTATGACATGAATCAAGGTCAAATACTACATGCAGCAATACTACACTTGCATACTTTCTTCTACCAACTTGAGCTAAACAAACTAGGTACAGTTAGCTAACAGAGGGAGAAATTTATTTTCCCAGCATAACAGAAAGACTGAAGTAGTGCTATACTAAGCCTGATGGAGAAAAGAAACAACTGAAGTGACACAAGCCAGTGATAACCATCCTCATTTCTCTTCTGCTTCCCCTTCTCAGAATAAGGGAGAATCCTTCCCTTGACTTGGTGTCTCCATAAGGTCCATGTGGGCAGCATCTCTACACAAAATATTCCTTCTGACTGAAAAAGCAAGGACAGAAATCACACCAATATTACATATTCTCCACAGCTGCCTACTTCTATGTGTAAAGCCCTTTTTGGATGTCATCTGCAAGTGTCTGCAAAAGTTAAAACCTAAAGGACCTGCATAACATGCATCCTTTTGCAATAGGACAAGATAATTAAATTCTATAGGGTGACATATTTTATAGGGTGATTAGACTAGTCAGATTCCTGAACAAGAATGCCTTTAGCATTAAGGCCAATCTCTGTTTTCTTGTAGTTGTTGCATTTATCCAGATCTGTTCAATTTTCCCAGCAGTGGGGAACTTGTTCCCATCAGTCCCTCCCTTAAAGGAGGATGGGAGTACAAAACACTCACCATAAGCAGCAGCAAAGAGAAAACTCTGAGTGCCTTTTAGGACACACTCAGCACTAACTTCAGTCATGGCAACTACTGTAGCGGTATCCTAAATTATTCCAAACTAGTCTGCACCAACTGAGAAGGGCTCTGATGTAGGATTTGAGTGTTCACCTACTAAGACTGTTGATCTCTAAGAGCTTTCCAAGATTTTAATCAAGTTCATTGAACACTTTCAAGACTGCTGGGTGTGAAAAGCTGTATCCTTCTTCCCGGAGACTGCTGGTTCAGTAAAAGATCTTCAAAAGATCCTACACTTAGATATACAGACATCTTTGAAGAAGAAAATGGCAAAACTAACTTTCATTGCTGAGAGATAACATGGGATAGTGTTTGAAGCCACTGTACTGTCAGGCCCTGTGAACAGCTGACCTACTTAGATAAAAATAAGAGTGTCATGGAAAAAAAGAGTAACGCTGAACAAAGAACCACCACCTCACTAAAAATACTCTTAATTTTGATTGAATTATTGGCTGCAAATACATAACAAACAGTTGAGTGCAGGACTGAGGAAACAAAACCCAGTGTACCTAAAGCTGCAAGATGATTCACTCATCTTTGAAAAAAAATGAGGATTATTACCAGGGAACTGGTATTTGTACTTCTAATAAAGCAGCCTAGTACTATTGGAGATAAAATATCAACTTGTTACTTCCATCTCAATCCATCAGAATTCCAAAAGCTACATACAAAAATCTCAAAATGCAGTTTTTCCATCAGTTTCTGTGCAAAACAACAGAAGTTGCATTCCACTTCAATTTGCACTACCCCTAGAACTTGTATTTTCATCCTCAGTTACACACACATACAAAAAAAAAGATTTCAAAAAGGTCAGCTTCATCATTATCAATTAAAAATAACAATCTTGCCAGCCACTTTCTCTCTGGAGTAGTGGACATGATTGAACAGTATTTCAGGAAAACAGCTTTCATCAAAAAGATTAATAATATTTTACTCAAAATTAATAATTTTCATTGTTTCTGAGATTTCCACTTTAGATTTTAGGCAAAGTAACTTTCTTCTATTTTTTAAAAAAGTAATAATCTCCTAAAATAGATTGGTTCTGCAATTCTACCAACCTGTGCAACTCTTCAGTTTTGTCTTCAGTAGGGCCCGTGGTTAATAAGCAGTGTCGAAGGATGGCAGCCATGTAACGAAATTGATGAGATTCATTCTATATAAATATAAATTATGAAGATATTTTTTCATTTTGAAGATTGCAAGTGGGGGTTTCAGGTCACTAGAACAATAAAAATTAAAGATGGAAAATACCTATTAGATCATAACATCCATCCCTATCAATAAAAGGACTGTACCTTAGAGTTCACTGAATGCTTAATGCAACATAACTGTCATATCCTGGCCTTTAACTAGGCCTTGTAAAAGTCGCTGGGGACTTTTTTCCAGTTAAATGAGCCTTCACTACCAGACAACCCCATTACAAGCATTTGCTCAATTCCATACCACTATTCCCAATATACCACTACTATCTTCTTTCCTGTACTTACACCCCGCTGCCTCTTCATCCGTTTAGATTACATATGTTCTTCATTTAATTTGCCTCCTCCTCATTTAGACCTTTTGTTGCCAACAGTTTTATTCCCCCACCCAGTCTGTTTCTTTTTCTAATTCACTTGCTTCTGTTCCCTTGATACCTCTTCTCCATTTCGTTAATAACTTCTCTACTCTCAGCAACCTTATTTGCCCTACTTTTGCTCTCTCCAAACAATTCCCCTTCCAGTCTCCCACCAGACAGCAGCCACACAAAAGTACACCAGTAACTGCAATCATTTAACTGTGTGTATAATTGTCCTCGTCCTTTTTCATTAGCTCCTCTTGGCATCCATCATATGTTCTGGTGTGTTTGACCTAGCACAAAGCACCCAATGCATCTTTTGTAACATCAGCATCCAAATCTGCCAACTGTACCACCTGCAGCTCTTGTCTGGCTTTGCTACTTTGAAACCATCTCCAGTCATTGAATACTGGTGTTTCACATGGTTCTCTCCCCCTTAGGATGGATCTCATTTAGTTTTCTACCCACATTCCTAACCTCTCTGCTCTCCTTTTATTTTCCATCCCATCTACTGTTTGTAATCTTTTCAAATTCTGCATCTTCAGCCCACTTAATTAACATGCTGTTTACTCTTCTTACAGATCATTAATATTTCCACAGGGATACTTGCTAAGCAGAATGTCACCTAACATATCTGGCTTGCAGTTTACAACTACTAAAGAGCTCTTTAATGTAAAGGGTCCTTGCTTTTATGAACTTTTAGTAAAGAGTTACTATATAAGCTTTACTGCAAAACATAAAATAAGCTTCTCCTGCCCCAGAATGTCTTAAACTCTCATCCAAATTACAAAAAATAACACCAAATCAAAACAAAAAAACCCAAAAACCAAAACAAAAAAGGTTACTAACACCAGAATTTCCTCCAATCTGAATGAAATTTTCCTGACAGCTGTATGCTTGGGCTCTTTAGGGAGGAAAAGTTTTGTGGGGCAAAACCTCCCTCATTCTACAGGCAGTAGCCACACAAAACCTCATCAGGTAACACCACAACTGTGTGCTACCTCCAGCCTGCCTTTCTGTGGTAAACTGGGCTTTTCATCTCTCAAGAGTCCCAGTATTTTCTAAGAGTATACCAGCTTCAAGATCCAGATTTCAAGAGCTTAATTCGCAAGAGGCAAACAGGGAATACAGCTTCATTTTCCAACTTAACACCTGCCATTATTTCCTCCACACAGAAGAACTCAATCACAAAGATGATACTTCTCAAACTCTGAACTAGCAAACACTCATACAGCTGTGTTAAACGCTTGATTTTGGGTAATCTTTCTCCACTCAGGTTTCTATCTCCAAAACTATCTCTTGCTATACAAAGAACTTTCTCTGACAAAGTTAAAGATATTTTTCATAAAGGTCAAAGGCAGGATTATAAACAAGACAGAAGTCCCTCACTTTCTTTATCTTTCCTTGAAATTTGAAGTATTAGTTTCTCTGATTCCCCCCCTCCCCTTCAATCTTAAATTTCAGAATTTCTTATTCAGCATACCCTTGAGACATTAAAGCAAAGAATAAGCTTCAGACTTTTCTCAAGTTTTACATTCCTTAATGTTATGATTAATGTCTTATTTGCTGTTTAGTCTAATGCACTACAAAGAACAATTATTTGCCAATTTTAACTACTGTAAACTTCTGCTTCATTTTATATGCTGCGTATTTACAATGCCCAGTGAAAAGTTAACAACACTGTTTTAGAGACAGTATGATGAGGACCAAAAAGAAAGATTCCCTATACAATTCTATTACTGTAGCACAGACCCAGGTTATTCAACAAAAAAGTTATCCCTATCATTTCTTTTTATAAATATAGGAATGCAACATATAGAAGCATATTTGTCTAAGCAAAAAAAAAAGATCTGATAGTATAATCAAAAAACCCAAGAAAAATCTTATTCATACGACATAACAATGAAAGTGCATTTGGTTCTCATACTTGACCTCATCTTAAAAGATCACGTTTAACTCCAAACCTGGTGTTGGGAGGATGGGAGATAAAGATATTAAACCCAGTACCACTCTTTCTTCAGAGGTATTTGTTAAAAATTAGCCTTGATGTGCTTATCAACATGCCCAGAAAAACAGAAGAAAACTAGGGAGACTTCTCAGCTCTAATTATTACCCTATTGCTATAGTCCAAAATCTCCAGAGATGTAGCCATCTGATACACTTAACATTAAAAAGTTTTTCCTAGCCAGCTAATTATTACTGAACAGCATTTATTTTCTTTTGGAAATCTAAGACTCTTACAAAATTGTCTTCTTTGCATTTTTTATTTGAAAACATACAGTTCTAACTTGCATTATATAATCCAAGCTATTCTCCCATTACACAAAAAAATGTATGGATTAAATTTTTTGCCTAAGTAGTAACAAGAACAAAAAAGTTATTTCGGTACTCAAAGCAACAAGCATTAAAGACTCAACACCTCTTGAAAGCCCAAGATCATCAATGCATGACACAATCAGAATTCAGACAGACAAATTTTCTTGACCTTAGCTGCTATTTTGAAAAATGCAATCAATCATATTCCATCAAAATTACAGTAGCAAAAGTTAAGTATTAAAATCCTTACTCTGGGGCTTAGACAACAACTGCCTCTTGTGTATCTACCTGCTGGTTCTGGCTCTTGCAGGCTAAACAAAACCAATTTAAAAAACACTTCAGCTAAGCCTTACCTCGCTGTGGACATTCCAACTGTCAAGCGTTACATTAAAAAGAGCCTTTAGTGCCTCAATGGCACAATCTGTCTCTTGCAAAGATAGAGGTGGCCTGTCACGATCTTCCGCTGCTTTATATTCCTCCGTCCATCTTACACTCAGGGAGCTTTCCAAAGCCTGAGTCAAAACTTGCACCCCTTGTAGTTCCTGACGCAACTGCGATCTAATATCTGTGTGCAGAAGCGACAAGAGGAAGAGGAGACGCAAATCAAAGCATTTAATGTCATCAACGAACTGTCGGTCTTTGCATTTTTCCAGAAGACTGCAGAGCATAGCTGCAAGATTCAGTTCCAAACTGAGCTTCTGTGCAACAGCACTATTAAAAATTATGTTACAGAGGCATTTTAAAGCTTCTACTATAACAGGAAATTCAGACACTCTCTCCAAAGCATCTTCCACAGTGTCCAGCTTTGCTAGCCTCATAAGGATCTGCATGTTCCTCTTCGTGGTTACAGGCACTAAAACCTTCTTGTCCCTGGAGAGAATCCGGAGAGCCTCCAGGCAGGCAACTTGACATGAAGTTTTTGTGTCTTTTTCAAGGATGTTTAGAATTCCCTCACACAGTTTCTATACAAACACAAAGAAAACAGTTTCAGCATCAAAATACTGGTGGCAATATGAAACTACTTTTGCTAAGCTTCCATGTAACTTTCGAGTTTTCAGCTGACTTGACTTGAGAAACTAGGTGTTCTGTATTAGCTCTTCAAAATATAAACCATTGCAAAAGACCTCCAAAGATCATCAAAAGCAGTTTTCCTCATGGATACAATCCAAATACATTGGCAAACGCATTAAGACAAAATGGCAGATGCTATCCACCATTGCCAGTTATGAAGTTTTCTCAGTATCAGGAGTAAAAACTTGAGTAGCCAGAGTAACAAGCCTAGAGAGGAATGAAAGGTTTTAAACATATGTCAAAGTAGAACAGTCACACCTGCAGTACCTGCAAAATTGTAAGTTGAGGTTGTTTCAGTGAGGAGGCTGGGAGAAAAGAAACCAAACCAAAATAACTGCTGCTCAACATACAAGTATTAGTACTCCATGTTTGGTAACAGCTATAATTTGTGTTGCCACTTCAATCTACTCTACTGACTTCTCCCATCTTAAGTAAGATTCTTAGAAATGCTACCTCTGACACAGAAACATAATGCAGTTCTATTGGAAGACTTAGGCTGTTGCAGTTTTACCAAACCAGCAAAACTGCTGCTTTGTCAACACAGATGGTTCTCGAAATCGAAATACTTCACTTTATACCAACCTGACTGCAGAGGTAAACATTAATCATATAAATGCAGCATGAGAAAATACAACACTCCAGGAATCGGCAGGTCAGAAGAGTAACATCTGAATTACAAAAGAATTACATTTTATAAGATAGAAATGGACAATCAGATGATCAATCAAAAGGGAGAAAAGACAGGACAGAAGAGATTGCTTGGTGGAGGAGGACTCCATAGGGTTTTTATGCCTTAAGCTCAGAACAACACTATTACTCGTGGGTACCAGAGACAGAAGTATAGTTATAAAGAAGTTCCCAGATAAGTGGCAATACAAACTGCATTGTACCTCACAGGACACAGTTCCTTCCCCCTTCTCACCCCCCAAGCTTTGTGTCTTGACCATTGACACGAATGAATTACCAAAGAAACCAGAGTAGCAACTGACTTGATTAGCCCTAGTGCAGAAGTCCACTTAGGACCTAAAATTCGTATCATGGTCTCAGGCAGTATGTGTCAATATGAAAGTGATTAAAAAAGCATAGGAATAGCAGTAAAGTGAGAATAGTTCTTAGGGAACAGTCTCTGGAATTGCACTTTTCACCACCACCACAACATAAAGGCGGGGAGCACAGCAGCCCATCACCCTGACCCAAAGTTCAAAACAAAAGTTCTACTTGGGATATCCAAGCAAGTTTTGTTACTGTGATCACTTACAATTAAAGCCAAAATTAAAGAAAAAAAATTAAGTCTAAAGCAAATCTAGAACAGACACTCCAGAAGAATAAGGGAAAAAACAACACAAGTCTTCAACAATGTTAAAAGACAATCTGTAAACAAAGTCAGTCAGTAGGAACTCACAATACAATTTCTAGTATGCTTGTCCTGGGGTGAAGCCCACCCAAAAGCACCACCCAGACAACCAAGACCTTGACTACATCTCCACAGCCCTGACTAGATTAATCCAGTAAGAGTCTGAAAACAAGGAGTGAGCACCACCTCTTACTGTCACACAGGCAACATGAGAAAACTTTGTCAGAATATTATAAACACTGCAACAGTATAAAACCCACATTTGACCACCTGTACAGGCATATACATACTTACTGTGAGAATTTCATAGACATGTACCTGGAAAAAGATACTCCAGTACAGAGTTTTCAAAGTTCTTCAACATTTACCTAGCGCTGCTCCCACAGATCTGTACAAACCCCTGACATGAGCATAGTATGCTAGACTTACATTAAATATTTCTGAAGGTGGCATCTTTGAAGCATTTTTTTTTAAAAATGCCTAGCAAACAAAAAACGACCAGTCTAGATCCAGTCCAATTACCCAGTCATAGCTCAACTTCTTACAAGAAGTTTGTTTCCATCGTTAAGAGAATTTTTCATACAATTAACTTTGCTTTGCAAGCTGAAGCAACAGTTGTGAAATCTGGTTTTGAGGAGCAACACAGAACTGAAGGGACAGGTCAGAGAACTCCAGGAAAAGGCCAGTTTATTCCTTTCCCTGTTTAAGCACATTTCTATTAGACTCAGCAGTTATAGTCTTCCTTGTTGACATCAGCTGCTACAAGGTGGTCTGTAATAATTTACACAAATTCAACAGCTGGTTCACCAACTGGACTCTCCTTTCTCTTTAGGAACTGTGTAGCAGTACCATATGAACAACAGAAGAAGCCAAGTTCCCAGCCTTCCCCAAACCAAGAGGCTGAATGAACACATCAAAGACATACTAGGCCAGACAGGCTGCCTTATCAGTAAATAAATACAGCACAAAAACATATCTGATTTTTCATTAACAGTGCTGAAGGTTTCTTCTAAGATTTTCAATACCAAGGATCACTTCATAAATTATCTGATTCGATCAATACCTACTGAAATTCCATTAATTTTTGTTAGCAGCAGAGCCTATACAGATCTTGCATCTGGCGCTCTGGTCTTTAATCTCAGTCAGATAAAACCTGAACACTCATTTGACTACAAAGAGACCAAACCTCCCAAATTCAGACTGATTCTGCACTGCCCCCCCCCCCCCCCCCCCATAAGTTGCACCCAGCTGCTGCTATGGAAGTGTCACTGCAAAAGGCCAAAAGCACTGCAGGGGAGATCCCAAAGGGCACCAAACTCCCACTGACTTGCCATGGGAGGTGGAAGCCTACATTTGAAGCCTATATCCCTCCATACATTTGAAGACTATCCTTGCAATTTAATTAAAGATTATAAAAACCATCATCTCATGGCTTCAAATCTTAGTGAAATGCAGCAACAGAAGATTCTTAACTCTGAGCAGCTGTACTAAAGATAGATACTAAATAGAACACAAGCATTTTTTTTGAGATTTAGCAACCTACTTGCAACTTAAAGAAACCCAAACCATTGGTGTGCTTGTAAGGTGCTTAATTTCCTACACGTTCCTGAAGCCTTGGCTGTGTAAAAGATTTCACAATATAAGCAAGGCTAGAGTTTGTTTTTAAAAGCATTAATTATACAGTCTTACGTATACTAGATTAATGACTAAGCCATCACGCACTTAAGAATAGGTTACTGAGCTTCCTAGCCATTACAGCAAACCACAATTTTTTCAAGATGCAAGACTCACATAAGTGAAAAATGTGTAGGAACTGCTGACCAAATTCTCTGGAGTTAGACCCTAGTGAGCCATCAAGAGTGATTTTAAAGGAACCAGCATTCAGTTACAACACCACCACTTGCAGTACTGCCGAAATCCAGCCAGCAGTGGTTCACTGTCACGATCTCAAGCGCCAATAGGAGCTTAGGAAAAAACAGAGCATCTGATTATAGTTGAAGAGTTATCCATGGAAAGTTTTGAAGCAAGACAACAAAATTTATTCTATTAGGAAATTGCCTTGGAGATAACTAAAACCAAAAGACCTACAGCACATTTTCTGCTTTCTCCTTGATGGTGTGAGGGATGTGATGTGCAGAGAGAAGAGAAACAGGAAAGGATGTGACCACAAAAGCATTATTATCCCTTTCATTTTTTTTAGGTGGTGCTTTTCCTACTGCCCTGTAGGCCATTAGCATGGCATAAAATAAGGTGCACAGATGTTATTTACTTGTTTGGAAAGAAAAGCAAGTGAAAGAATTCAGACAGCAAGGTACCTTCCTTTTCACAAAATATATGACAATTGTCCTAGTTTCAGGGTTTTATTGGTATCCCCTAAATTACTGTATGAATTTAATGGGTTTTTTTTGAGTTCTATCCTTTCAACATTCAGAAGGGAGTTTGATTTTCATCAGTTGTGCTACAGCAAGAAGTGTTTTTCATATACTTTTCCACAGAATCAAGGCAGTTTCTAGTCTTTTAAAAATTTTTTAAATTGTAAAATAACTCTCTAAAATTCAAGAATTCTCAGCTTTAGTGCTAATAGTAATACAGAGCAATACACACTGTTCCTTTTGTCTACGCTGTAGTGTGAGTAATGGTAAAACATTTTAAAATTTTGTTGCATGTTAAAAAAGGAAGCCCAGAAACACCCATCTCTCATCTTGTCTTGACGAGTAGAGTATTAATCCATTTTGTTCCTTTATCCTGATAGCATAAATGCTTGATGCTAAGAAGCAACATGGTCCTATAGAAAAAGCAATATCCTGACATACAACAGACCTGTGTTTTCTTCCTTACTCAGCCACAGACCTATTGTGTGGCCTTGGGAACAAACGTATCATCTCTTCAATTTTCTTTCACCATCTTTGTTTACAGGCTAATTAGACTGGGGTGGGGGTGTGGAGAGGGGAGCACTGTAAGTGCTTATTAGCAGGTGCTTATACTTTCCAGGCTCAACCTCAGCTGGGGACACTAGGTGCTTGACAAAATTAAGGTACTTCATGATCTTGCTCTTTGGTCCTGGGGTGCCTGCTTGCGAGGTCCCTTTCCACCTCCTCTCTTTGTGTTTGAAGATGTTTAGAAAGCACACTTGACCTATATTCACTTTTTTCCAATTCACAGACCACTAAACTTTGGCTACATTATGTCAGCTGAATTTACTGTAGCTTCTCAACACCAAAGTAATAAATGTCTTGGTGAGAAAAGGAGACAATTTCCCCTTATTTGCTTCTTCCTCTTTGGTAAATCATTCTCTGTACTTATATAGGCCTTTGGATTAGAGCAGGAAGAAAAGAATATAGTCTCCATTCTGCAAGTATTCAAATCCAAGCAAACACCGCAGCTTTACTGAATATATCATTTAATTTAGACACAGACTATTCAGTGCTAGAGAAGCTGCAATTCAAAGGCAAAAATAAAGTTCTGCTAAATATTACAGAAATAGAGTGCATACTTCTCTTCTGCACCTTTATTTTTGAATTATGCCATAGATGCTGT